ATGTCCCCCAAGATTATGGTCCTTAGCCTTCAAGTCCAGTGATTTAGTCTCACAGTAATTTCTACAATTGCCCCCTCTATGGGTTCTATTATATATATGTGCATATACATGCAGCATTTACAAATACGTGTGGAGAAATATCTACAGCCATACCTATGTATCTACTCACAAATTATTGTTTGTTATTACTGTTGTGCAGGGTTGTGTATTTTACCGTATTTACCATAATTGTTGTTATTGTGTTATACCTTCATTGTCTTCCTTTGCCTTGGTCTCGCTGTGCTGACTTGCCTCATGTTGTGTATTGCCTTTCCTTTCACCATAATTAACACTTGTTTACTGGTGGCATCGTGCCTAAGGCATTTGACTGATACCTGAAGGCTTGCAGTTCAAACCCATCAGCCACTCCTCAGAAAGAGGGATGGGCAGTTTACTTCCATAGTGATACTGCCTCAGAAACCCAAGGAGAGGTTGCTGTTAGTTGGGACCGACTCAACGGCAGTGAGTTCACTACCTAGTTAGTGATTCTCCTTCACTGCCCCCCCCATCCCTGATAACCAAAGAATGCCTCTATGTGTAAACTTATTCTTGATGTTTTAGGATAGTGGTTTCTTACAATATTTGTGCTTGACTTATTTCACTGAGCATAATGTCCTTGAGATTCATCCATGTTGTCTCGGAGGTCCCACCAGTCTCTAAGGCCCACTTTGCCCCGGACTGTCTATTGTGATCCTTTTCAGAGGGGTCAGCAGTGGTAACCTGGTGCCATCTGGTTCTTCTGGTCTCTGAGCACTGCTTTTGCTCTGTCCCAAAGGTTTTGGTATAATTTGTAACTTCTTATTTACATCAGTGTTTTTACGTGTTTGTTGGCCATCTGTATTTTTTTCATAAATTGACCAATATCTTAGCCCACTAATCTTTTATGTTATCCTATTCTTACCGGTTAATCATTCTTCATGTAGGATACCACTTCGGAAACCCAAGAAAGGGTCTCTATGAGTCGGATACGACTTGACGGCAGTGAGTGTTTTTTTTAGTTTTTAGAATGCTCCCTGAGGTAGTCTTCATTCTAAAAGTCCAGTCCATCTCTTAACCTCATACATCTGACTGGCATTTCACTTGTAGTTTTCCACTGTCTGGAAGACAATGATTTCTATTTCCCACCTCCTGGAAGTAGCACCAGAAAAAGTTAAAGGCTTTTACATTCTGATCAAGTCTATATTTTAGTGATTATGATTCTTAAAAATTAGACCAGCATCCATTATGACCCAGCTTGTTATTTTGAGACTATAAACACTAATTTTAAAGATAGATGAGTGTTGAAGATAGAGGAATAGCAGACAAGCAACACAGACCCTCTTCAACAAAGAAAAGAAAAACCAATTGACAAAGTTACTGAAGATAACCCTGGAGCCCGGAGCTTTGAAAAGAACTATACGGAAGTGGATCAAGCACCAACTAGTGGAAAAACCTGAACGAAAACAACGAGTACAGAGATGGTCGGAGTTGCGGGCTGTCAGCTACTCTGACAGGACCAAGAGCCTGAATATTCCCAAGTGATGTTGGGACCTGAGAATTGACCTAAAGATCAGCCCTGGTCATCAAGGGCTGCAGGGATGCCTGCGCTAGTGGCCTATGACGAGAAAGGGAAACAGCAAGGAGGGAGACACCTGAGCTGTGGACTTCCCACTGTCCAGAGGGTGCAGCCATTTTGATTATTTACACGTAGCAGCCATTTTGGATATCTAAAGTGACTGAGGGTGTGGCCATTTTGAAAGTTTTAATATAAGTGGCAGCCATTTTGAATCTTTACAAGTGACAACCATTTTGGATTTTAAAGTGATAGCATTCTCATTTGGATTCCATGGACCTAAGAACAGGCTCTGTTTGCCAAGGTCAGCAGGGACGTAGGAGAGGCTGACAACAGGAAAGGAGACAGGTGGTGAGTGTATAAGTGCTGTCAGCTAGCGAATAGAGGAGCACAGTACCCTGCTTGTGTAGATAACACACAAAGAAAACGAAAATCATGGGCAAGTCACTCCAACATACAATCACCAATTAAATGTAGACACAAAAACATCACAATGCCTCAGAGACAGCAGAGCATCACAGTCCACACAAAGAAGCAAGATAAAGCAGGAGAAACAAGGGACCAGGATACAGACCCAAAACACATTCCTGAGGAAGACACAGCATTGGAACTCCCTGATAAGGAATTCAAAAGAATTATATTTAGGTATCTTCAGTGACTTGAGAGACAGATCAAGGAAAACACTGAGAAAACCCTAGAACAATTCTGAAAGAATACAAGAACAAAATGACAAAATAAATGAAAAATTAGAAATGATAACAAAATCTGCAGACAGAAATCCAGAAGATTAGTACTAAATTTTCAGAAATAGATAAGACATTAAATGGGCAAAGGAGCAGAATTGAATCAATGGAAGACAGAATTAGGGAGATTGAAGACAAATACCTGAACACTTCTTTGGAAAGGGATCAATCAGAAAAAAGATCAAAACAACATGAAGAACGCCTAAGGTTCATGTGGGATACCATCAAAAGGAATAACCTACGTGTAACTGCAATTCCAGAACAGGAAGAGACAAATAAAACCACAGTGAAAATTGTCAAAGATTTGTTGGAAGACAATTTTCCTGGTATGATGAAAGATGACAGTATATCCATTCAGGAAGTCCAACGAACCTCAAACAGGATAGACCCCAAAAGAAAATCACCAAGACATACCATCATCAAACTCACCAAAACCAAAGACAAAGAAGGAATCATGAGAGCAGCACGGGAAAAACAAAAAGTCACCTACAAGGAGCAACCAATAAGACTAACCTCGGGTTTCTCAGCAGAAGCCATGCAGGCAAGAAGACAATGGGATGGTATATATACAACCCTGAAAGAGAAAAATTTCCAACCAAGAATTATGTACCCAGCAAAACTGTCCCTCATATATGATGGTGAAATTAGGACATGTCCAGATAAGCATAAATTAAGGAAATTTGTTAAAACCAGACCAACCTTAGAAGAGATACTAAAGGGAACCCTTTGGACAGAGAACCAACAACAGCCAACAACAATTGACGAGTAACACACATGATGATATAACCCAGAAACCAACCCAGCTATGGAAGTATCCAAAGTAAATAAGCCTTTGTTGTTATATGCCATGGAGTTGCACCCAACTCATAGCGACCCCTCCTTGGGTTTCTGAGGCAATACCACTACAGAAGTAGATTGCCCAACCTTCCTTCTGAGAAGTGGCTGGTGGGTTTGAACTGCCAGCCTTCTGATTAGCAGTCAAGTGCCTTAGGCACTACGCTACCAGAGTTCCTGTAAATAAGCCTATAAGATTGTAAACGGAACCAGAGATATCAATTGACAAATGAGGACAACTCGATGAGGACAAAAAGTGGGAAGAAACTGTGTCGTTGTAGAACTTCTAGATGGTAGGGAAGTCAAGACAACTACAAGATAGAACAGACCGTTCTAAACTTGGGAAGAAAACTATAAATCAAAGGGCAACCTCAAAGAAAAATGATAAACCTTCACATCAAAAAAGAGGACCAGCAAAAATATTCAGCAAATACTAAAACAATAGCAATGAAGGAAGTGATACCACAACTCATAAACAAAACAAGCTCAACATAGAAAATTATTTGGAACAAAGATACCAACACCAAAAAAAGCACATAACAAAAATGACAGCAACAAATTTATATTTGCCGATAATTACGTATCTGGCAAGGGACTTATCTCTAAGATTTATAGCAGAAGAGTGAATGACAAAACTATGGTACATACACATAATGAAATGCTATGCAGCACTAAAGAATAATGTAGAGTCTGCAAAACACCTTATAATATGGATGAACTTGGAGGACATTATGCTGAGTGACATAAGTCAATCACAGAAGGACAAATATAGTATTAGTTCATTGTTGTGAAGGGTCAAGGAAAGGTTTATATATGGAGGGAAACTTTCTTTGTTGGTTGCCAGGGGTGGGAGGGGAGGGGAGGGGAACAGTGCAAAAAAAAAAAAAATGCATTGACCCATTTCACTTTTGCTTTGTGTATTTCACTGTACATAAATTATATTTCAATAAAATGCATTAAAAAAAAAAGATGAGTGTTGGGTTTTTCAAAAATCTCTACTGAAAGAAAATATACCATAAGTCATAATAAAGGGTATTTTTTAGTTTGTATTTCTGAGTTTGGGTTTTTATGTATCATCTTAAATAAAATGTGCTTCTTTAGGATTAAAAATTCTTCTACTAGCAAAGAATCTAATGTTAGATTTTAGTATTTGAGGGTTATTTTACTTTTAACTTAATTTTCTTTTATGAAATGCTCTAAGATATCCCCATAGTACTTATAGTGACTTTAATGACCCTGTTTTAAGAATTGAAATTTTGGACCTCCTAATTCTTGTCTGGATTGTGTCTGTAATAATAATCACAAACATTTGTTGAGACCTTACTGTGCCATGCATTTGTATTATCATTTGTAATCCTTGAAACAACCCTGTTGTTGTTGTTGTTATGTGCCGTTGAGTCAGACCCGACTCATAGCGACCCCTCTGTGGGTTTGAACTGCCAGCCTTCTGGTTAACAGTCAAGTGCCTTAGCCACTGTGCTACCAGAGCTCCCTGAAACAACCCTATGTGGTAGAAATTATTATCCCTTTATACCAAATAACAACCTAAGGCAAGGAGAGTTGGAGCAATTTTCTGGACTTCACATAGCCAGTAAGTAGCAAATTTGAGATTTAAAACCAGACATTCTGTGTCCAGAGCTTGGCTTCTTAACCACTGTAAACTCAAGTCACAATAATTTTTTCTTTATCCCTAAAAAAGAATGATACAAACCAAAAGTTTTCACTGGTTAATTGTAAGTGTTCATTGCAATTAATTTTTGAATATTGGGCTAATGGGCTCATGCAGACTCCTAAGTACATGGGTAAAGTTAATTTTTTTTTCATTCTTTTAGCTGATATAGCCCAGAGATACAGGATAAGCAAATACCCAACCCTCAAATTATTTCGTAATGGAATGATGATGAAGAGAGAATACAGGGGTCAGCGATCAGTGAAAGCTCTCGCAGATTATATCAGGCAACAGAAAAGTGACCCTGTTCAAGAACTTCACGACTTGGGGGAAATCTCCACACTTGATGTAAGTTGTTAACCCTGGCTGGGCCGAATGAACGTTGTCTGCTTAATTGAAGTAAACAAATTCTTAACAAACAAAGCATTTGGAATTCTCTCACAGTTCATTGCAATAAATTTGACATATGCATACTTAGTGAATTGAATTTTTCTAAACTTAGTTTTCAAGTGAAATGCTAAATTTTTTATTAAAATTACAAAATATAGAACATAGTAAATGTTGTACTAATTTGAATTGAGGATAAAGGGAAGCCCAACTTATAAAAAAATAGAAGTTAAGGTCAAGAATACACAACCTAGTTTCCTATTTTCTTTAGTGAAGGCCCTAAGGATAACTGCTCTGCTCACTCCTGTGTTGGCTCTTCGTCTGAGTTTCCGTGTTCACTGAAACCACCTATCTTTCAATTAGTAGTCAAGTGCTTAACCATTTGTGTCACCCAGGGACTCTGTCCTCTAAAATACCCTCTGTCTTAATAATATGTTTCGCGGACCTCTTTATTTTTATGCTAAGTTCTATTTGAAAGATAACACTAAGAAAAGCAAAAATGGTTGCGCTTTGGTTTCTCTAGGTTCACTGTCAGGTCAGAGATTTGGTTTTACCCAACTTACAAGGTCATTAGTCAGCTGGCTGCTGTTCCATGGATGCTGTCAGAAGACACAAGGCTCCTCGGTCAGAGATAAAAGTCTTTATTACTCACATCACAGTCACTTTATTTAGGAAAAGTCTGTCACTGATTAAGTAGTTCTCTTACTTCTTCGTATTTTAAAATAAAATGCTAGAAGGAAATGCATATAGTTATATTTGATTGCAGTTAAGATTGTCTTCAACCCAGTGTAATCTTTCATGTTTTTGGAATAAACATTAAAAGCCAAATATGTATTTGTAGTCATAGTTCATTTGGAAAAAGGTGAACAATATTGAAGCTGCTTTGGTGCCAGAATAAGGGGTAAATGAAAAAGCACGTTTATAGAACTATATATATTTGCAAAATAATTATATACTTTATTTTACAGCGCAGCAAAATAAATATCATTGGATATTTTGAGCAAAAGGATTCAAACAACTATAGAGTTTTTGAAAGAGTAGCAAGTATTTTGCACGATGATTGTGCCTTCTTTTCTGCATTTGGGTAAGTGTTTTAATTGAGAATATGTTAGTGGGTCAACTTGGCTGCCGTGATAAATTCATATCATATCTGGTCATTTTCTGAAGATGACCTCCAAAGAGTATCTCATTCCTCTTAAAGTTACCAACATTGATTAGCCCATCTGGCCTCTTTTTAAGGGCTTACAAGTCTGTTTATTCTCTTTTCTGTATTACATCCTCTTTTAGAACATGGGAAGAGGAAAAGAACAGACCAGTTAGCAGTGAACTCATTCATGCTTCCATACAATTCATTTGGTAAACCCCCTTTGGCAGACAAAATGCTGAGGTGGGTTAACAACCCACTGAAAGGACATGTTCCCTTCTCAGTAAATAGCACAAGCTGTGTTTTCTTCATTCGTCTCCGGGTCTCCACAGCTCTCCACCACCATGTCTTCCATCTTCCCTGTCTCATTGGAATAGTTCTTTCCAAGGCTAACCTCTTCACAGCTATTCTAGTAACATCCCCTCAAACTCCTCTAGGACTTTGATCTGTGAGTTGCTCCTGCCAACCCTTTTCATGAACTACTTTTCTTGTCGTAAAACATCCATTTCCCATTCCTTCCTCTTTATCTCTTGAACTATCTCATATCTTTCTTTTCATTCCAAATTTTTCTCAAAGACTAGTTTATGCTTGGCTACCTTGAGTTTCTCAAATTCTAATGAATAATAAAAAAAATTAACCTCTTGGAAGCTGACTTTCACCTTTGTAAATGTAATGAAACTTCTGATGCACGTCACAAAATTACTTCTTCATTGTGGAATTCAGTGGCTTTTTCTCGTTCTTGCTCCTCTTCGGTTCCTCTGCGGGGTGTGCCACTTGGCTGCCCTTTCCTTTCTCTGCTGTGAGTGAGCTTAGGTCACATGGAGTCTCCCTACTTGCTGCTTGCCTTTCTGACTTCCCTGGCTTTGATCACTTCTGTTTTGCTTCCTTTTTTTAAAATAAAATCATGTTTGTGGTTCTCTCCTTGACCCTCTCTTCTCATTAAAGTTAATTGCAACCATCCTTTGACTTCATGCAGGATGATGTTTCCTTTTTCATTGGCCTATAACTGTTGGGCTCAATGGTAGTAGCTATCTTGAGTACAGTGGATCCTCCATTTTGTGATTTTAGCTTTTATCCATGTTTTAATGCTTGTGTGTGTGTGTGTGTTACTGTAGGCATTTTTTTTTTTTTTTCATTTGTGATTTTGGTGAAAGTTTACAGAGCAGCTTAGTTTTCCATTCAGCGTTTCATATACATTTTGTTTTGTGACATTGATTCCGGTCCCCACAATGTAACAACACTCTTCCCAATTCCTCCCTATATTTCCCTCTTTCATTTGTCCTTCTTTTCTATCCCTTTCTGCCTTCTGACCTTTGCCTCTGGCAGATACTACCCTTTAGCCCTCCTGTGGTTTGCTATTCTAAACAGTGAGTACTTCCTTGGTGTTTCTGTTCACCTTATAGGCCTGTCTTTCATTTGGCTGAAAGTTGAACCATAGGGTGACCTCAGTTCCAGGCTTGATGGCATAGTCTCAGAGGTGACACTATTCTCTAATAGACCAGTAAGCCTGGTCTTTTTTATGATTTTGAATTTTCCTCCATATTTTTCTCCATTCTGTCCGGGACATTCTACTGTGATCCTTTTCAGAGTGGTCAGTGGTGGTAGCCCGGCACCATCTAGTTCTTCTGATCTCAGGGTTGTGGAGGCCTAGGTTCGTGTGGTCCTCTGTCCTTTAGACTAATTGTTTCCATGTGTCTTTGATTTTCTTCACTCTTATTTGCTTCAGACGGGGAGAGACCAGTAGTTGCTCCTTAGAAGGCGGCTCACGAGCTTTTAAGACCCCAGTCGCTACTTACCAAGGTAGGATGTAGAACATTTTCTTTGTGGACTGTGTTGTGTCAGTTGACTTTGATGTCCACTGAGGCTGTGGTCCTGAGCCCTTAGGCCCAGTGACTCATTCCTCCAAGGTGTTTGGTTATGGCCAAGAATATGTATTTGCAGCACATATAGATACATGGGTAGACATGTCCTCTATCAGACTGATACATCTTGTTGGGTGTTGTCCCATTCTCCTTTCCACACCTGTTCAGCTTGAGTGTCTGTCTCTGTGCCTGTTCCTAGACCATTGTTGTTATTGTAGGGTTGTGTATGTAACGGTATTTGCCGTTAAGTCTTGTGTTCTTCAGTGTGTTCCTGTGCATTTGTGTGCTGACCCCCCAGTTGTTGTGTATTGCCTTTCACTTTACCCAAGTTAGTATGTGTCTGTCTTCAAATTAGTGACGTACCCTTTCCTTACCCTCCCATTCCTGGTAACCTTCAAAGAATATTTCTTTCTGTGTGAAGACCTTTTCGTGATTCTTTATAATAGTAAACCAAAAAAACAAAATTTATAATAGTATTCTCATATAGGAGCTCTGGTAGCGTAGTGCATAAGGCACTTGACTGCTAACCAGAAGGCTGGCGGTTCAAACCCACCAGCAGCCACTCCTCGGAAGGAAGATGGGAAATCTACTTCCATAGTGATATCGCCTCAGAAACCCAAGGAGGGGTCGCTATGAGTCGGGTCCAACTCGAGGGCACATAACAACAACATTCCCATACAGTATTTGACCTTTTGTGATTGCCTGATTTCCCTCAGCATGATGTCCTCCAGGCACATCCATGTTAGGAGATGTTTCACAGATTCATTGTTAATCTTTTACATTGTGTAGTATTCCATTGTGTATGTGTACCAGTTGGTTTATCCATTCAGCCATTGGTGGATAGTCAGGTTGTTCCCTCTTTTTGCTGTTGTGACTAGCGCTGTGATGACCTTGGGTGTGCTCATAACTATTTGTGCCACAGCTCTTACTTCTCTAGGATATATTCTTAGTTGTGGAATCGCTAGATCATACGTTATTTCTGTTCCCAACTTTTTGAGGAAGTGCTGTGGCATTTCCTACAGTGATTGTACCATTTTCCATTTCCACTAGCAGTATAGGAGGGTTTGAGTCTCTGCACACCCTCACCAGCATTTGTTGTTTTCTGTTGCTTTGACCTTAATGCTGGGGTGGGATGATATCTCATTGTTGTTTTGATTTGCATCTCCGTAAAGGTAAAGGTAACGACTCCAAGCATTTCTTCAGGTGCTTGTTGGTCACTTGAATGTCTTCTTTGGTGAACTCTACTCATGTCTCCTGCCCATATTCTAATTGGATTATTTATCTTTTTGTTATTCAGGTGTTAAATTTTTCTATAAATTTTAGACATTAATCCTTTGTCTGCTGTATCATTGCCACAATTTTGTTCCCAGTCGTGGGTTCTCTTTTTACTCCTTTGGTGAAGTCTTTGGATGCGTAAGTGTTTAATTTTTAGAAGGTCCCACTCATCTGGTTTGTTTTCTGCTGTCTGTATGTTTTTAGATATGTTTGATAGTATGCCATGGATTGGTAAGTTTGCTCCTATTTTTTTCTTTGATCATTTTTATAATTTCAAGTTTTACATTTAAGTCTTTCATCCATCTTGATTTAATTTCTGTATATGTTATGAGATACAGATCCTGTTTCATTTGTCTGCAAAGGGATAATCCAATTTTGCCAGCACCATTTGTTAAAAAGACTGTCTTCCCCATTTAGTGGGTTATGGCCCTTCGTCAAAGATCATCTCTCCGTAGGTGGGTGGATTTACCTCTGTGTTCTCAGTTCTGTTTCATTGGTCTATTTATCTCTTTTTGTACCAGTACTAGGCTGTTTTGACTACCATGGCTGAGGTTTCCTACATTGTTCTTCTCTAGTTGTGCTTTGCTTATCTGGGGTCTCTTTCCTTTCCATGTAGAGTTGATGTTTATTTTTTCCATTTCTTTAAGGAATGATGATGGAATCTGGATTGGAATTGCAGTTTATCTGTAGATTGTTTTTGGTGGTATTGACGTTTTCACAGTGTTCAGTCGTCCTGTCCATGAATATGATATGTTCTTCCATTTTTGTAGGTTTCTTAAGGCGCTCTGGTGTTATAGTGGTTAAGGCATTTGGCTGCTACCCAAAAGATTCAAACCCACCAGCTGCTCTGTAGAAGAAAGATAGGGCAGTCTTCTTCTGTAAAGATCTATAGCCTTGGAAACCCAGTGGGGGTCGCTATGAGTCAGAATTGACCTGATGGCAATGAGTTGGTCCCCACCCCCCTTTGGTTTTGGTTTCTTGCTGCAATGTTTTGTAGTTTTCTTTGTATAGGTCTTTTGTATCTCTAAGGAGCTCTGGTGGAATAGTGGTTAAAGCATCTCTCTGCTGACCAGGTTGGTGGTTTGAACTCCCAAGCCACTCTGCAGGAGAAAGACGAGGCAATCTGCTTCCTTAAAGATTTACAGCCTTGGAAACCCTGTGGGGCATTTCTGCTCTGTTCTGTGGGGTTGCTGTGAGTCGATCTACTCGATGGCAGTGGGTTTGTATCTCTGGTTAGATTTATTCCTAAGTATTTTATCTTTTTGGTAGCTATTATAAATGGTATTGTTTTCCTTTCCTTCTCAGAGTTTTCTTTGTTAGTGTAGAGGAATCTGACTAACTGGTATGTTGATCTTGTGTCCTGCCACTTTGCTAATCCTTCTATCAATTCCAATATTTTTCTCATTGTGTCTTTGGGATTTTCCACGTACATGATCATATCATCTGCAAATAAAGTTTTACCTCTTCGCTAATTTGGATGCCTTTTTCTTTCCCTTTCTTGCTTTATTGCTCTGGCTAGGACTTCCAAAACACTATTGAATAGGAGTGGTGATAAACGGCATCCTTGTCTGGTTCCCGTTTGCAAGGGGAATGCTTCCAGTCTCTCTCTCCATTGAGAATAATGTTGCTTGTTGGTTTTGTATATGTGCCCTTAATTATGTTGAGGAGTTTCTCTTCTACTCCTTTTGTAAAGTGTTGTTTATCAGCAATGAGTGTTGGATTTTGTCAAATGCCCCTTCTGCAGCAGTTGATACGGTCATGTGGTTCGTTTCTTTTGTTTTATTTATGTGGTGGGTTACATTG